AAAGTCCTTCACAGCTGTAATTATGTTTTGAACAGAAGCAACTAAGCTACAGTGTTGCTGTGACTGTACTAAGCAGACCTTGGAACTGTCTGTGATGGTGCACTTTAATTGTAGCTGTGTTTATGTAACAAATGCATCAGACATCAGTTTCAAGCACTCATCTTTCTCTTACTGTTTGTAGATCAAAACCATAATTCTCTATATTTAATCTTCATTAAATCAGAACTTTAAAAGAAATATATTTACTCAAAACTACGAGTCTCACAAATCCTCCTGCTTCCTACCTAAAAACCCCCCAAAAAACTGGCAGCTGTTCTTCCAATTTAAGTAGCCTGATTTTCTCACCAACTCACCTGCCCTGTAGTGTTCGTGCGTAACATGGCCAGCTTTCCTTGTATTCAGCCTCTTTCTCCTCTTTCTCAGGTCTGGAGTTTCGCCCCTGCCAAAAACCTCTCTTCCATGAGGGGCGACGGTCCTGATTCTGGGGGCGATACCTAGCAGAGAAACCCAGCCTAGTTTATACGAGGTCCCAATGTGTCTTTGTGCATGTACATGTGTGTTTGGTAGCAAAGTGGTTCTACCTGGTCATCTCTATAATGTCCTCAAGTAGGAACTCCTCCACTGGGAACGTCAAACCAGGAATGTGGATCATTGGGCAGTTGTCTAAACCGAGAACAAAACCGTGAGCGGCGAGAAAGAGGAACAGCTCAACTTATTAGAACTGCAAAACTTTTGCTGACAATTTGGTGAAGAAATTAGTGAGCTACACACCAAAATATTGGGAAAACTTCTCTGCGTTGAGCGTGGCACTCATGAGAATGATCTTAAGGTCATCTCGGAGGTTAAGTAAGTCCTTTACAATGATGAGCAAAACGTCTGATTGCAGGTTTCTCTCATGGATTTCGTCCAGCACCAGGTGACTGATACTCGACAACAATCTGACAATAAAAGCAAAAAAGGTGAGCAATTTATTTTTTTGCCTTTTTCTGTCTAAAGAGTTAAAAAAACCAACAAAAAAAACCAATATTGGTTGACTTTTTTTCTTCTTTTTACAAATTCTCTCTTGTTTCTCTTTAAAGATCTTACAAGTTTCAATTAATGGTACTACATTTTTAAGTACTTTTAAGTGAGATTTAAATTATTTAAAATAATTTCACAAGGCACAGACGTTACCCAAAAATAATTTTTTTAGAAAGTATTTAACAGAGCTACAGTCCATACAGACGTCCACTTGTAAGCAAAGTGATGTGCGAATTTAGCTTAACACCAAAAATGCAGTTTAGTCAGAAAAGGGTAGCCCTGAAATGGCTCACTAGAGTCGTGCTAACGAAAGAGCATGAAGTGAGACAACAAGGAAAAGCTGGCACTTTCACTTAGCCTGTATTTCTTTTTCTGAAGGCACTTAGAATGCAAAGACGAGCGTGGAGGAATGAGTCAACAGAAAATGGGGACCCATACTAATGAATCTTCCACAGACAGTAGCGTCAACCCCAAATCAATGGGGACAAAACAGAGTGACAAACAAAGGAATGGCTGGAGTGGAGATATAGGGGAAAAAGCAGAGAAGATGTACAGGGAAAAGATGTATACAGGATGAGAAGGCAGAGGTGGAAGCAAACTCACGGGTCTGAGCGAAGCCACTGAAGAATAATGCCTGTTGTACAGTACAGGATCGAACCTTGTCTCCTTGGTAACCGGCTGGAAAATGGGAGAAAAAAAAA